GATTGAGATCCGTAGTACCAAAGAAGAAGAAGCATTTCTAGTGATTGTTATTGCCAACACCCCGTCAGAAAACTCAATGCCTACTTCGCACATATAGAGCGTGCATTTCCCACGTTTAATAGGCAGACTTTTTGATATGACATTTTGGTTCTTTTTGTTTGCTAAAGCTTTGAGTGGGGATTATTTGTATGTCCCACCCTCCGCGAGCACCACACGGGAACAAGAACAGCTTTTAATTTACAGTTTGCATTTGCCGTGAATCATAAGGAAATTTGGGTTAGGGGGTTGGAGTTAAAGTAAGATGATGGATTATGGTTTAAGGTAAGGAAAGTGTTAGGGCTAGGTAATTTGGGGGATATTTACCCTTTAAAGAATTAAAGGCAAGGCCACAAGTATTACGTGAGGCGCTATCGTAGCAGTTTTAAGCATGCTTTGCGCTAGATGCGTAAAGAAAAGGGTTTCGGCGGTCGAAACGTCTTCTTTCCTACACAGACTTATACATGACGACAACAAGCATTCGCCTCGCTACATTTTTCTTCCTCGAGGAAATGTCTTGAACGTCACTCCTGTTCGCTATTTTTGAACATAAAATTGACAGACAGTGACGAAAAAGCAGTCGTAAGCCTACCTTTAAATGGCATTTCATCCGGGGTAGGTAATCCGGCATGTTTTAGGACCAATGGATTGTGCCTGGCGCCCCTTTTCCACTTTTACTTTTACAGGCTGCTAGGGATCATTGTCGGTGACTTGTCATTTTTTCATGCCGACCCTGGGATTCATTTGAACGTTCACCTTCTGATTTAAAAAAAATCTGGTGATACCACCTCCACATACTGTGGCTCCGTAGCGGTTGTGTGTATGGACCGCCAATAGCATTCACCTTCGTAGACCCTCTTAACCCTGAACAAATATTTGTTTTATTGCGCAGAACTTAGCTTCTATGACCAAGAAAAAATGAAGGCGTGATCACTGCGACACTAATCTTATTTGTCTGCGATTTCGGTCTGTGTTACAAGAGGCCATCTCAACCTTCACTACTCGAAACTGTCTGCCGCTCAGAATTCAGTGTTTTGTTTCCCTTCATGTGTTCTTCAGGCTCGCGCCGGTCAATGTCCCCTCAAGACTGTACTCGATTTGACTCGAGCCTACTCTGGCGAGAACAGCTATAGCGTTTGGTCAGTTCTAGCCCAGGGACTGGGTTCTGTTCGCGTCCTCCTCCAAGAGATGGCCTACAAGGCCGGTGACGAGGTTTTCTTCTCCGAACTTTCACCGGAGGAGATTGGTCTCAATAACCTCTACACCCAATTGGCCTTTCCCGTTTATGAGAAACTTGGTGTGTCCGTGGGGCTTTATCTGCTCCTACTGTGGTGTTCTTTTCATGTGTCTACATGGTCCTTTTCCAGCGAACACTTTCCCTTTTTGTGGCTTGTCACCAAAAAATTAACTCTGGTTAGGAAAATTTCTTGTATTTCTGTGAGAATGGCCTCTGAAGTA